AGTAGTATATAATATTCATGTATCATGCAAAATGTCCCCAGATACTGCTAGTAAGAGAAAGATAGAGGAATCTCCTACTGGTAAAGAACCTGAAACTAAAATAACCAAGGTGGAGGGAATAGGTGATCTCATTGTCCTCGGCTTACCATAYCGTACCACTGAGCCAGAAATGAAAGCATATTTTAGTCAGTTTGGKGAGCTGGATTATTGTGAGGTAGGAAAGTTTGAAAAATGGCAGACAAGTCCCTTGTATGTATACAGTAAAACTATGTCAAACGCTGACAYCCCTYGTGGGATCCCTGTGGAGGGACAGTCTTAATGTTTCTTRGACAGTCTCTTTGAGTATTTCTTGTTTTAGGTTAAAATGGATCCCGTTGCCAAAAGATCAAGAGGATTTGGTTTTGTTAGATTCCTGGACGATGAACATGCAAAGAATGTATTGTCTATGTCACACAGAATTCAAGGCAGATCTTGTGAAGTCAGATTACCAAGAACAAGAGTAAGAACATGCTATTGATTTGATGTCTTTTTCCCGTAGAATTCCTGGAATCAGGAACCAAATGACAACGGAGCATATATAGGGCGTTCCTCAGTACTTGATATGACGTTGATAAACTCTTTTTCAAAATTTCAATTTTTTTCTGCTATTTTCCAGGAAGAAATGAATGTCCCAAAGAAGATATTTGTTGGTCGACTACCAGAAGGTGCTGCAGAGAAGGAATTACAGGAGTACTTTGGTCAGTTTGGTGAACTCACGGACGTCTACATCCCAAAACCCAACAGAAACTTTGGCTTTGTGACGTTCTCATCTGGTGAAATAGCACAGTCAGTYGTCCACCAAAATCATAGAATGCGTGACAACTTACTAAATGTCTCATTTGCCGAGCCTAAGTCAAATTCCATGAAGGCAATGACCGGTGGGGGTTACCCTGGGAGCCCAAATATGGGATACAACGTATGGAATGCACAGTGGAGCAGAAATCAACAGAATACGTCTAGCAACACTTATAATGCTGCCAACACAGGAACCCCATACAGTATAATGAATATGATGAACCCAGGTAGTGTGCAAGGTATGATGGGTACAGGCTCAACCAATAAGACTTGGTCTAGAGGCCAGAATCAGASTACCACCCCTAGGAAATGAATGGATGGGGTGCATTGTTTTGTATCATATCACAATTGTATGCTTGTTGTGTACTTGGAATTTAACTTTGTTGAAACTATTGTGTTTGTTTTCATATTTAACATTACAAAGAATGTGGTTGTTGTGTGATAAGGAAGAAGTATGTTTTTTATGTATTTTCTTGATGAACAGAATTCAAATTTGTTTAATTGTTATAGGATTAGGTAGTTGTAGCATTTTTTTTCACTTGTAGAATACTAATGAAAAGTAAACACAACCACAGTTAAAAGAAAACTTAGTTTATGTCATGGACAGAATGTTGCAAAACTGTTTAAAAAARGTATTTAGTTCAGGCACAGTTTTCATAGTTAAGAATCCATATCTCTCCTAATCATAATTGAATGTAAAGATTAAGAAAGCAATTAAATCAAAAGTGTGCGTTTACAAGAGGTTACTATAAATGTGAGTGATTCAAGAATACAGTGAAAACCAATGAGTGAAAGGGAGTTTGCCTTGTTTAGTGGTATGGTAAGCATAATTATAACTTGAGAACAAAAGCAAAGACAGGAATGAMGTTGAGTGTGAATAAGCATGTTATGCATRAGTCAACTGAACTAATGACAAAAGAACAAAGAAAAATGGCTCCCTTTTWTCTTCTTATTCCCTTCTCATCACTAAATCTATTCTTTTAATTCTTCTGGTAATGTGAACCAGGCTTTAAARATGTTTGCGTTGTTATGTAAATACAATCAAGTAGTGTGAAAGGTTTCAGTAAACATCAACGTGGGGACATCAGAGCAGACGAGTGCAGAGAAGGAARTGCTGGACAGTGGAGTGCCTTGCAATTTTTATTCAGTGTGTATGAGAGCTACAAATGCAGTAAGAAAGTACCTGAAACTACAGAAAATGCAGGAATGTATGAACGTCAAGTTGAGTGCAAAGAGATGATGAATTGTACTGATTCAACAACAGTTATTGCAAGTGGAGAGCAGTTTTATGAGCAGTTATCCATGAGTTACTAATAATTCTGGTGAAAGATTGTCCCTTACAAACAAACACTGAGTGGACGTTGACTGCGGAGAATGTAAGGAAGTTGGAATTGTTTTAAGAGAACTAARAATGCAGTGTTTGAAAGTTGGTGAGGTCAGCCAGCTAAGTAAGGACATGATCTGCGTAGAGTGWTCTCAGTGTGAATGGCCRGTTTATATCGTGAGTTTGGAATGACTGTGTAAGTACAATGTATGTAAAGTAGATATGTTGTGAGAGATGGTAACACATGACATTCCTTTATCCCTACAAACTCAATAAATTAGCAAAAATACAGTGTACAATCTGCATTTGTTGGTAAAAACATTTCAATCATGTGCAGACTGAATGGTTTTTTTAATAATATGTGGACAAGTGCTGTTTTTATTATGTAAATTTCCAAAGATTATTACTTGGAGCATGAAAGTATGGAGTATGTGCCCTGTCAAAAACAATTTAATTTAGTAAAAATAATAACTTTTCCATGTTAATATAATAATAATAGACTTTTCCATGTTATTAGCAGTATTTATTGGTGACTTGGGGCGACATCAATGCTTTGTACTTACAGTCTCTTGCTTTTATTAGTGCAATGTTCTTAGCATCATGATTAAGATCTCAAGATGGACAGCTATCTACCTCATTGAAATGAAATAATATTCAAGCTAACACATGGGTAAGTCAGACTTGGGTAATCGATGTTAATTGCCTGGAAAACGTCTGGACCATGCTGTTTCAGCCTTTGTTAAGACCATTATGACCAACCTTAAATTCCTTCTGTATACAAAACATCCAAATTCCATGAAGAATTGTTCCTACTGTTCCCTCGAGTTCATAAACTAACATAACATATATCTGCCTAGACGGGTCCATTACAAGAGAAATCTAGTTTGTTGGACATTGCTTTCTTTATATCTGTGATTTCAAACACTTTCTTTGCACTAAACTTAACCACAGAAGCCAAACTTGTTGACAAAGTATTTCAGAGATACATTGATTACACTTAAGCAATAATTCTAAGCATTTTTCTATTTTATTTTCAGGATGCTGTAGCTTCGCCCAACTGAGCCACAACCAGAACTCAGTAATACAATGTACTTCCTCAATTATTCAAAAGTCTGAATGTGATTGCACAGAACAGATTGTTAATATTTGTCTTACGTATATGGTACTCATGTCAAGTCCAATCTTAGAAAATTAGCTTTGCTCAAGTCTGCCATGATGCATGTAAGCCAATTTCTCTATTGGCGAGCCACAATGCTTCTCTCCATCACAAGCTTAAAACAATGTGCATGTTACTCAGTTTATTGCAACCTTGAAACATTTTTAAGATCAATAAAACACATTCATTGCCATCAACTTGKTTTATTATTTTACTTTTATTTTTATTATTAAAATACAGTAATCATCTTTGATAATCATTTATTTATTTCTGTTAAATTTAGACTGATTCCACAATTCTTGTTGGGCTTCCTGTGCAAAGGGTCAGAAACTTGTGGTATCATGTCACCATATTTATGAATACTTTTCCACTTTATTACACTAATCATAAGCATATGTACATGCTGTTTGTCTTTTCTTGTCTACATGTGACTGTTAAGATTTATGAATGTACTGTGAAATATTAGTTCACTTTGTTTCATCGATTTATGAAGGCCCGTAAAAGTTGCATGATAAGCGATTATCCAACTTCTAAATTTTACACACAAACGGAAGAAATTTAAGACTGTGCATGATGATCTTGAGTGAGGTTTATGTACGGTGCCTCTGTGTGTGACTACTAGAGCGGATTTCGTATGAGTGGGACACCGTTACCGCACGGTTACCGCACAGTTACCAGACCTGGCCTGCACAATTTTGGTGAACCAATGGGGCACTTCAATTTGGTTACAGTACGATTATGGTCACAGTACAGTACCGTCCGTTTCCNCAATGAAAAATCAAATCTTTCATTTTGTCCTCCACATGTAAGCTGTTTTGACACATGCAAGGGGTCTATTCTTTATTTTATATTCTTGAAAATAACATCTTCATTTCCATATTTTCACTACTCCATCTCTTCCTGCTGTAACTATGAAATTTTGTGGTGATTTGGATACTATTAAGTCATTTATGCATTCATGATGGCCGACTGAGGGTTGCTCYGGACCTCTCCTTGGCATGTCTTCTTGTACAGTACCCTGGCGAGGCTTACAGTAAATTTCTTGAAAAACTTCAGTTCCATCAATCAGTCTGGACCTAGAAGGGAGATAGATTTGTTAATAAAATACTATCATTGTCTAGCAGGAAAATGTTTGACTTGAGGCTACACTTCCGCTATTACTTGATTATTGCAATTTCTCCCCAGTACCCCAAGAGCAGCTACGCAGGCTAGCAATAGTATATAATAACAGACCTCTGAATCTTTTACGCCATGTACCGTATGCGCAATGCATTGTAGGATATGTTTGGGACAGAACATGGTGCATTTCTTTTTTTTTTCTCTAGAAAATGATCTCATAATGCATTGGAAATTAAAGATTCAGAAGTTTATTGTTTCACCAACAGGGTGGAAAAGTTCTAGTTGGTCTTTATTTTGGGAGTATTATTAGTGACGGGGTCTTACTTGTATTGAAGTACAACGTTGTTCAAATTATCTGTAGCAGCTCCAGCCACCATCTGAGAGTGTTCAGGGAATGCTATATCCCAMAGCCTTATCCTCCTATCTGAGCCTGCTGTTATGATGTACGGGCTTGTATCTGGGAGACTGGAATAAACGGCATGGATTGCATGAGGRGAGACCTGGGTTTGAGATAATGGTGGAGTGTTGCTGGCCCATAATGTCTGYCTTCTTGAACCAGTTTCTAGATCCCAGATATTGACTTCATTGTTGCCTTGTACGGCCGAAACAACCCATGACTGTTCTACTGGGTGTGTTGCTAGTCGACGGATCCTTGCACCTAAAACGTTGTGGTAGGGTGTGTTAGTCTAAGGTATTAAATTGTCCTGGTTTTGTGATGTTAGAGTACAAACACTAAAACCGAGCAACACTTTGTACTATTGTACTATTGTACTACTACAAGATAGTGTTAATTAAACAATAGAAAACAATAAAATTAGCAGTATTTAGTGGAATTTATGTTGCACAGTTTTACTCTATTTTTTTACTCTACACAGCTCTATTTTAAACTTTTTTTATTTTCATTTAACACACTTTGAAATATTTTGCACACAACTAAGTCCAAATATGTAAAAAATATCAGAAAACAAAATTTTAGAGTAGACAAGAGGGAATACCTGTTGGATGAACCAGACTTGTGATAGGCAGCTGAAAACGTAAATCCCAACAGACCATATTACCAGTTGACGTACCAACAACAAGCCAGCAATGACATGGATCCACAACAAACGAAGTAATTAGACCTACAACAAAGGAATAGTTGTGTAAAAAGATAAATTACACACCGTAAAAAAGTAGGAGAAGTAAATTACTAAACAAAGGAAATGTTTCTAAATGATATTATCTTATAATATAAATAAATATGATAAAATTTTGAATAATATCAAGAAATTAAGATTAGCAAAAATTGATAAAAAAAAGCTTCTGAGTTTTACCTTTTGATGGATCATTGACTAGTTTCCARGCCATYGTTGCTGARCGTAAATCCCAGCCACAAACAAACCCATGTGATGTGGCGTAAGTTAGAACAGACTGTGAACCTTAGAATAGAGTACAAGCTTGCATTTTAAAATGTGTAACTTGCTATCAAAATAGTGTTTATAAATGATATAAATAGCCTTTGAAACTGACCTATGACACCAATGCAAGCTTATGTTTATTTTTATGTTTTTCCTGCTTCAAATTACATTGCACCAGCCGCAATTTCCGGTGTCGTCTCCTTAATCATCCCCCGACACTGGAAAACGACACCAGAAAACGGCTGCGGGGAGTCTAGCCGCACACCTCCAAGCAAATCGTTCCTGATTCATTGTACCTGTATCAAAGTGAGCCATATCCACAATGGAGCCTTCATTGGATGAACTGACTCTCTTCTCATAGATCTGTACCTTTGACANGTGCATTTCTTTTTTTTTTCTCTAGAAAATGATCTCATAATGCATTGGAAATTAAAGATTCAGAAGTTTATTGTTTCACCAACAGGGTGGAAAAGTTCTAGTTGGTCTTTATTTTGGGAGTATTATTAGTGACGGGGTCTTACTTGTATTGAAGTACAACGTTGTTCAAATTATCTGTAGCAGCTCCAGCCACCATCTGAGAGTGTTCAGGGAATGCTATATCCCAMAGCCTTATCCTMCTATCTGAGCCTGCTGTTATGATGTACGGGCTTGTATCTGGGAGACTGGAATAAACGGCATGGATTGCATGAGGRGAGACCTGGGTTTGAGATAATGGTGGAGTGTTGCTGGCCCATAATGTCTGYCTTCTTGAACCAGTTTCTAGATCCCAGATATTGACTTCATTGTTGCCTTGTACGGCCGAAACAACCCATGACTGTTCTACTGGGTGTGTTGCTAGTCGACGGATCCTTGCACCTAAAACGTTGTGGTAGGGTGTGTTARTCTAAGGTATTAAATTGTCCTGGTTTTGTGATGTTAGAGTACAAACACTAAAACCGAGCAACACTTTGTACTATTGTACTATTGTACTACTACAAGATAGTGTTAATTAAACAATAGAAAACAATAAAATTAGCAGTATTTAGTGGAATTTATGTTGCACAGTTTTACTCTATTTTTTTACTCTACACAGCTCTATTTTAAACTTTTTTTATTTTCATTTAACACACTTTGAAATATTTTGCACACAACTAAGTCCAAATATGTAAAAAATATCAGAAAACAAAATTTTAGAGTAGACAAGAGGGAATACCTGTTGGATGAACCAGACTTGTGATAGGCAGCTGAAAACGTARATCCCAACAGACCATATTACCAGTTGACGTACCAACAACAAGCCAGCAATGACATGGATCCACAACAAACGAAGTAATTAGACCTACAACAAAGGAATAGTTGTGTAAAAAGATAAATTAMACACCGTAAAAAAGTAGGAGAAGTAAATTACTAAACAAAGGAAATGTTTCTAAATGATATTATCTTATAATATAAATAAATATGATAAAATTTTGAATAATATCAAGAAATTAAGATTAGCAAAAATTGATAAAAAAAAGCTTCTGAGTTTTACCTTTTGATGGATCATTGACTAGTTTCCARGCCATYGTTGCTGARCGTAAATCCCAGCCACAAACAAACCCATGTGATGTGGCGTAAGTTAGAACAGACTGTGAACCTTAGAATAGAGTAYAAGCTTGCATTTTAAAATGTGTAACTTGCTATCAAAATAGTGTTTATAAATGATATAAATAGCCTTTGAAACTGACCTATGACACCAATGCAAGCTTATGTTTATTTTTATGTTTTTCCTGCTTCAAATTACATTGCACCAGCCGCAATTTCCGGTGTCGTCTCCTTAATCATCCCCCGACACTGGAAAACGACACCAGAAAACGGCTGCGGGGAGTCTAGCCGCACACCTCCAAGCAAATCGTTCCTGATTCATTGTACCTGTATCAAAGTGAGCCATATCCACAATGGAGCCTTCATTGGATGAACTGACTCTCTTCTCATAGATCTGTACCTTTGACACTGAAGACTGCTGTARGCTTTGTTCTATCCTTTTGGTTTTAATAAAGAAATCAAAATTATATACAATAAACTAATATARTATTATCACAACATAATAGCCATCATATCAAGATTAATAACAACTAGTTGCAAATGTCTCTTTACTTTATAAAGTTGTATTATGCAGCCTTCACATCCTATTTTTGTGATAATATTAATTCATATTTACCCAAATACATTGAGGATTCCCTCGTCTGATGCACATGCAATGGAATTCTGACAGAACAGAACTGCTTTAATCTTACAACCTAGAATAGAGAGAAAAAATCCAACCAACAYGGCCATACACTATTCTTGGTAATTTTGTTGGTGAGTGTGATGGAATGGAGTGTGCATGATACACTGTTAACTTCAATTTAGAGTGCACGTCACATAAGCATGAAACAATTCTTAATAGATTCTTTAATAAGATTTAGTTATCAACTAACTAAGAATTCAACAAAGCATAAACACAATGCCAATTATTTAAATTCCTTTGTAGCATTGTTCTCAATTCTTAGTTAGTTGATAACTAAATCTTATTTAGCACTACATAGTTAAGAATTGTTTCATGCTTATGTGACTTGCACTCTATCCTCCATAGCTTTTCTTAAATAGGTGTTAAATGGCATAGCAATTGCATGTTGCTTATGGCTTCAATAAACACAAATTTACCATGCCGACTGTAWGTCTGACGTGACTTATTTATCAAACTTTTTCCATCCAATTTTTGTAAGTCCCARAGTTTGACTGAACCATCATCTGATGCTGTGGCAAAATACTGGGCATCTTGACTTAGCTGAATTCTATAAAAAAATGTACATCAAGATAACATCAACATGCTTACTGTCTGGCTAGTTGGTTGGTTTGGCTGATTTGCATGTTAGCTGGTTAAAGCTGTCTCAGTATCTTTCATTTCATTTGGCTAAKTTGGTTATGATTGGTTGCTCGAAAGATAAAGAATAAAGCCAATTGATTAATTAGTTTAGGGTAATTACTGTTTTGTTGTCTCACTGAGCTCTCTGACTCACTGATGTTCGTTTCTTCTTGATGTTTCGACGCCATTTTGGTCGTCATCTTCAGGAGTGAGTCAGAGAGCCCAATGAGACAACAATATAGTTATTACACTAAACTCACCAATAAGGGTTTCAGATCTACAATAGTTTGGTTAATATTGGTAGAGTTCCGCTAGTTAGTTGTTGGTACAAGCTTATTACCTTATTGCTTACTACAATCTTATGGTAATTRTTTACCTGTTTATTGCAGCCTTGTGCTCATGTAAATGAGCTACAAGTAGTCCTTTAGGAGACCATCTAACAACATAAAATAGTAAACTAAATGAATACTCTGGAACAATGATCAAAAAACAWCAATCTTTTACCTAGATACCAACTACTTCACTTAAAGACAGACAAAGTAAGCCATACCTTTGTTGTAYTGGCTTTCTACCTTTTGATAAAACACTTCCAATAATGTCTTTCTCTTTCATATCTACAATACATTTAAAAACATCAAAATTGAAGTCTATAAATGTAATACTAACTGGTGTATTAAGAAATCAATTAGGGGTAGTTGGTAGTCTTTTAAGTAGTTCTTTTGGTAGTTCTTAAAAGCATATTGTTTGATTGCTAACTTTACCAGCAGCAAACAGATCCCTTTTATGATGAACAAGTTTCCGTAGGTCAAGYTTGCACTCAGCAAACCTTGCTTGCACAGAATTCTGGGACACATCAAGKGAACTCATGGATGATTGTATTGAGGAAGGTCTTGAAAGAGAGGCTGTTGAATCTGGTCGCTGGGTCCCTGATATGGGTAGTGAACCAGAAGGACTACGAGGACGCTCGGGTGGTTCAAATGAAGGCTAAGTTAAGATATATATAAAAATCTATAAAAATTTTCACAGCACATACATTTAATATCAATTCTATAGTTCCATTGGAAATGGTAAAAGGATATTTTACTTAGAGATTTTGAAATCAAACAAAATGATATTTGTTTCTTGCTCTACCTGTGGGACTGGTACAGAGACTGTYTTTTTWAGTGGAGACTTAGGTCTTGACTGGGTCTGTGCTGGAAGTGTTGCATCTTTTTTGTTCATTGTGCTGGGTTCTGTAAAGCCAAATATCTGATGCCATTCAGGATTCTGCAATATATTTAAAAAATACTGATTGGAATAATAACCTAAATAATAATAATAATAATAATAACTTTAATAGCAACTCCTAAAAAGGCTTTTCAGTAACTATTTACAATAATGTAATARATAATATAATAGATTAAATATAAAATTTATATATAATGTGTTAAAAAATTMCAAGGTATAATTATAATAGTAATGTGTATTTATAATGACTAATGTATATAAGGTATCTAGAATCGCATTCATTATGATTAAATAATCGATTGATTACTGGTAATGGCTCTTTCTTAGCATGTTGCTTTTCAAGGAATATTTAAAGACCTTAACAGAATTACATTAASTGCAAATTTGAATCTAGAGAGTTCAAATGCCTGTGTACAATGATTAACAAAGTTGGCAAATTTGACAAAAGCACAATTTGGATTTGGGTCAAACTCCAAGCACCATGAAAATATGTACAAATATATGGTTTAGTTATTTACCATTTGTTGTTCTGCTAACTGTTTCTTGTTCTTCGATGTACCCTTTTTGTTTCCACTATTATCAGATTTGCCTTCACCTGACTTGGCTAAATCAGCATGTCTTCTTAACACAGACTTAGAGTACAACTTGAGGTCCATCTCGCCACTGATGTTGGTGTCAGTCTTGTCTGGCTGATCTAAATTACTGAAGAAATGGTGCTATATTCAATACACTAAAAATACAGACTGGAAAAGGTTGCTGTTGGCAACATTGAAGAAAAGGTGCTATATAATACTCGACAAATAAGCATATAAAGCTAGTAGGCAAACAGACTAATTCAATTGCTTGGACCCACGAAATGAAGGTGGAAAAAATTTTCTACTCCATAGGTTCTGTATGGTTTTTGTGACTAGTGCCTCAGAACGAGGCCTAAGCCACTATGCTACAGATTGTAAGTGAATGTGTATTGATGTAAATCACGATAACTCTGTGACTGGCCACTTCTATCATCAGCTCATGATATGGATTTATCTTGTGAAAAAGGATTTTTACTGTCAATAAAGCTKYTCCCCTTGACTATRRAGGTGTGRTGAGTGGCATATAGATRAACAACAATCAAATAACAAACCTGGYCTTGGCATGGTGAAGTTTTAACATGATATCCTTCAAGTAGAGCAACTTATCTTCATCTGCTTCTGTTACTCCTTGTGAATGAAGCTTTCGATACACGGGAACAAGTACTTCTTCTGTTTCTGAATATGTTGGCCTTTGACCACTTCTACAGACATTGCGCCTTARTTGACGGTCTTGTAAGCTAACATGTAAAAGAAGATTCAGTATTTAACACAATCAAGCTGTTAGGAACATGCCTGTTTTATTTTCAGGAAGATATCTAGATCTACTCAGTAATCATCACTCCTAAAGAATTTACATTTTATATCATCATCTTGTATACTGGTAAAATTCAAGTTTTGACTTTTACCAGTTATAAGATGATGATACAAAAAAAACACACTTTCATTCTCACTTATACATTATGTAATTACTAGCCAATCACATGATTGTGTCAACATGATAAGCAAGTTCATGGTCTGCTCTGTGCCCACCTTTCAAATAAKGTGTTGATATGAGGTGACTTTATGATAAAATCATAGACAGCTCTATTGATCGGTTCCTTCAGCAAACTTACAAGAATAACCTTCAAATTAAAGAAGAACAGTTGAACAAAAAAATSCATGTTGTAATATAAAGACAGTATAACGATAACTGCTTACCTCTTGTTCAACTTGAATGACAGGCTGTTTAAGAAATGGCTGAAGCAATGGGAGTAGATTACAGTGGACATCAGCAACATTAAGAGTTCTCGCCACRGCTGCTACAAACCCTACAGAACCATATCTGACCCACATATCCTGTAAAAAAAGATTATTCAAACAAAAGGATGCTTAAAATATTATGCATGTGGTCATTGGTCACAGGATTGGGTTTGTTTGGCTGAATAGTAAACAACTCAACTTACAGGATGACAAAGGAAAGGTACAATCTCAGAAACAAGCTCATGTAATGTTGGTTTTGGTAGAAGACCAAGCTCTGCCAGACACGTTAAGGCATGTAAGGCTTTACACACAACAAACTCCTCTGTGTCACTCAAACCCTGCCACAAAGAAAATACAATTTGAAAATCAATAAAAACCAAAGCAGCTTCGAGTCAACTTCATTGGCGATTGAATGAATGGATGTATGAATAAATGAGAACTGAATAAACCAATTTGCAATAAAAGTACCTGTTCCAAAAGAGGACGAAGCATGGCTAAACTYTGCCAACCTACATAAGCTGCAATTCCAACAATGCTATCAAAGAAAGCTCCACGTARCTGCCAGTCATATTTATCATTTAAAAATGTTATCATATGWGACAAGAGCACATCATTTGCTTTTTGTCGACCAAAAAATACACATAGCCTGGTGATGCCATTTTCTAATAATGTTCTTTTTACAATGTTTTCTTGGTCACTAAGGAGAGTGACAACTTTKCCTTGAATTATCTTGTGTAAGGCTTGCAGCTCTGAATCATAACTCCCCTACAATGAAAGGACAGTGATTATTATCACAATAAGTCATTACAATAAGTCATTATCATTGTCATTATCATTGTTATTATCATAAGGTGAAAACCAATATTACTTGATACTGTATTGGTGTATCTTCCTGGCTTCCTTTGTTRATRTTACTACGRTCYAGYTGCGCCATTTCTAGGAATTTAAGAGCTGTTTCTGCTAATGATGCAATACTCTCAGCATATGCAAGTCKAACTATAACTTCTTCATCTTGGGTAAGCCATGTTATACTGAAAAAAAATGAATAAATGAGAAAATGATTAGATGAAAGGGATGAATGAAGAAAATCTCTTCACTGATTCAAGTGTCAAAAAGGACATTGTATTACCTTGGCAAAATGTATTCAGGGAAAATATTTGCATCACTTCTTGCAATGTTCTTCACAAGATGCAAGCACTGTGTTARTGTTTTAAGTGCCTGAGCTCGTACTTGCGGCAGCGCATCATTSACCATGTAMAGCATATATGGTAGTAATCTTTCAAGAATAATGTCATCGTTCACATGCTGGGCCAGYGTTAACATAAGCTCCAAGGCTGTCAGTTTAGAGACGCAGTACTTACAGGTACGCACRCAGGTTGTTAATAATGAGACTATAATCACAAGGCACCCTGAAACAAACAATATTAATTCATGTTACTAATATAACTATCAATGCAAAATTTTTCATAAACTTACCATCTTTATCTTTGACAGGTTTCGAATTATTTTCTCCAACAGGCAAAAGTTCATTTAGAATATTATCAATATCTCTTTTCAATCTAGAAAAAAGCAGTATATATTGCTTTAGAAACAGTTTTAACTGTTAAATCTTAAAAGATTTGGCAAAATTTGCCTTCCTAGAACAAATTCCTTCTTGGTTCTTGTAACAAAGGAAACCCATAAGATAAAATAATGAAACAACAAAAGATATTATAAAACTTGTTTACTAATTAAAAGTGACTTTTACCTGGTTATTTTTTCATCCGAAGTCAAAACTGGTAAAGTGGCAAATCTTGTCATGTAGGTTTCTAGAAATCTATGGAACTGCTCAGGAAAAACAGACCCTATGAAAATAATCCACCAATTAACACAACAATAAGTCAAAATATACAGGTACATTGCTTGTATGAATCCATCCATCCATCAATCAATCAATTCCATCCATCCATCAATCAATTCAATAAATCAGCCAATGAACAATCAATCAATTAATCACTCAATCAATTACTCAATCAATCAATCAATCAATCAATCAATCAATCAATCCATCCATCCATCCATCCATCAATCAATTCAATCAATCAATCAATCAATCAATCAATCAATCAATCACTTAATCAATCAGTCAATCAATTCAATGCATGGTTAAATACCTCCATAGTTCCTCAAGTACTCAGAAGCAATCAGACGTTTAGATGGATCCTTAGAAATCATGTGCTCAACCATTTCCTAAAATACCAGAAAAACAGAAGATTAAAATATACCATTGATTAGCCCATTAGTAAGCTTGTTAATTGTTTGGTTAAACTCTGTTAGTTAGTTGATGAGTTGGTTAATCCATTCTGAGGTTGGTTGGTTGGTTGGTTGGTTGGTTGGTGTGTTAGTAGGTTGGTTAAGACTTTATTGTTTGGTTTTGTTTTGGATCTGGTCATAGGTTTTGTTTGTATCATTGTTAGGCTGGATTGTTTTGTAAGTGAACTGGCTGATTTATCAAAAGGAAACAATTCTATACCCTAATTTGATTATCTTCAATCTTCTCTAATGATGGCCTGGGGTCATACTCTCCCTTTTTGTATGCTAAAAGTTCTGACAAATCAAAGAGTTTATTGCCTTCACTAAAAAGCTCAGCAATCACACATCTGAAATAAACAAAATAAAAATGTCAMTAAATAATACTGGTTGGGCTCCCTGTGTTTGAYTAARTTCTTGTTGGGCTCCCTGTGTTACCACAGGAAGCCCAAAAACAAAMATCTTACCCTAAAGAAAAAATATCCATTGCAGGTTGTAGCTCTCCCTTTTGTCTTTGTAATAAATCCATATTTGGTAAGCTTGGTCCACCAATAGATTGTGAATCTAYTGAAACTCCACTAGCCATGAAAGCATCTGATTGTCTTGAGTCTAAAAACCTCTCAGGAGCAATGTAACATGTCCGTCTACGAGATGTATCAAAGAAGAAGGTGAAGTCGGATGGATTGTCTTCTGGSAGGTACGCTGGCTTGAAGCTTGCTATGTCAGTAAGAAGAACCCAGTTCCAACTTGTGACCATGATGTTCTCAGTTTTGATATCTCCRTGACAAACCTTAGACATGCAAGAAACATTAGCCTTTGAATCAAAGCCAAAAAGCATTTATGTAATTAATTGTACTTACTTTTACTGAATGGCATTGTTCTAAGGCACATAACAGCTGGTAAACTATCCATTTYTTTTCTATGAGGTTTAAAAATGGCCTGGTACTAAAAGAAAATGAAAAAAGAATAAAATGTTTTGAGTGGTTTTCATAGCTGTGAAATATTCTTTAGTGTATTAYACTTTATTGCCTACTTCATGAATTTGGACATCATTTGGTAAACACTCTACCTTATCCTGTCATACAAGTTATCTTTGACAAACTGTCGTAGAAGTAGGCTTGCTTTGTCTGTGAGAATGGATCTCTGAAATGGCAGCACATTTGGCGCATTTGCTAGTCTAATATTGATGTCTTTCAGTTCATCCTGGTATGTTTTAAGAGGCAGAGATGGATCTTGGATCGCAAACACTTTGACAACACATAGTCCTTCCCTGAAAATGACAGTAGTRACAAGAACTGTCAATCAATGTTGAGTATGTGTCTGTTAGTCAGTTGGTCCGTCTGCCTTTCAATGTGGTGAAGTCCATGTTTTTAAAACTCACCTATGACGTGCACGTGCAACTTTGAAGAACCTTGTACTTCCCAAACTATGATACAAATTTGTTAAAACAACATTAAATTACTTTGCTTTTCAAAGCTGACAATAATCTCTGGTTTTCTTAAATTCTTTTAAATTTCTAGGTCTACAGTATCACTGCATTTAACATGGATTGGATACGAATATTCCCATCCACTTTCAGTAAATACAAGAATAGACACTTTAAGCCATTTGAGATGAAAGAACACAATAAAATACCTTCAATATGGCAATTGCAATGCAACTTTGAGTCACATGAAAAATGAGCAGCTATACTAGAAACAGTTGACAGCTGYTTCAACATATAATTCGCCTGCAGTGAAACAGAATCCAAGTAGATCTGAAGTAGCATCTAAGAATACATTTTTAAGCTCATTAAATGCACGACTGCATGTACTGTCCTTACACATCCTAAATGCAGTCAAAACAGCTGTTCATTATTTCYGGATGACCTGATGTTGTCAAAAGCTACCATGTAGTCTTAAACTTTAGACAGTAATGTCAAAGCTCGTAAATTGTTATTGAAATATAATATTGTTATCAAATATTTGTTGCAAATTATTGTTTATTTATTTATGATAAGTAATTGTATTTTTTTACAATACAATGAACAGAGTAATTAAGTTTTTTTAAAGACTAAATTTGCACACTTGACATTAAAAATGACAAGYTCAGTAACATCGCAATGGCCACCAGCTGMCCAAAGACAGAAATACTTACAAACGAAATATCTCCAAAGGTCAGAGAGCATGGCATTCGCAAAATTTGCAAAATTACATCACATGTAACTTCATAMATTATCGAGTTTACTTTAGGACTTGTGATCTAAATACCAAAGTGCGTTAAAGGAATTGTCTTTTATCAGTTCATACCTKCCATCAAACTCGTAATCTGGCAAATCGGTGAAGTAGTGATCGACGCTGAGGATCTGTGATGGGGCAATTCCTGTTAGYTGGTTACCCATCTAGGCAATTGTCCCTGAATCCTGCGATCCAGCCTTGCTATCGCCTTGAAACYTCCCTGGCWGATAACATACTATATAAACTACATTTCAGTCAGCTTTTGTAAATAATCTGAAGGTATTGTGGTATCTGAAATAGCATTTTTTCTACACTATTTTTGTAGTTGGCTCGTCGAAACTGGAGATATGCCGTGTAACCTGGCCTTCATGCTTAGTGACCTGGCTATATTTATTCATTCATTCATCACTTCAATTTGCATATCCTTAATTCAATCATCTTTATCGAAAAATCATCTAGATTTGAAAAATGCTAAAATGAAATTCGAACCCTTGAAATTTTGTAGTGTGAGGAGTCGTGACTTTTTTTTCGATTGTTTCCCTTTCTCTTCTCTATCTCTATTATTTCTTTTCGCCTTTTCTCATCCTTTTCCTCTTTCTTTTTCTTTGTTTTTATCTTCCTTTCTTTCTTCAAATGACTCATTGTACGTTTAGCATGTTTAGAGGCATGACATTTTCCCCTTCTATTTTGCTTAGTCATTATGAATACGCGCCAGCTCAAGTTTATGTATAATGTAGCACCCAAGTCCTCTTACGAGCAACAATGACGGAGTGATTCACTCTAATTAAAGGCATTTTAACGTAAGGTGATGCTCGTTTATAAAGGATATGACAKAGATTTAGCTTGTATCACTCCCTTCCTGTCCCATATAGAGATGGACCGGGCAAAACAGGAAGAGAGTTTTTAACCCACGCGTTTTGCCAATGCCAAACAAATGCTTAGTGTCCCCTCCCCTGTGTGTTAATATTTTAGAGGGTCATGTGCTAAACATTTTACGCTTAACCTATGATCTACCTTCAGACTTTCCCTTTGTTTTCTTTCAATGTCATGTGCACGTATTATTGTAGAATGTTCTTTCCCTCTCATCCAGTTTTTCGTCAATGATTGCGCACTTTCTCTGCCGCATTTTGCCGCATTTTATCATCACTGTCTTATGTCTATGATCCTCCATTGTGCTGCCACCAGTTCCGTGTATTTGGTCCCAATGACAGCGTATCTTTTTTGATGCGTCCCCTTACATTGTTTCTAAGATGTGCGCTGCCTTGTCTCCTGCGTTCTCTTTTAGCTTCATGTCATATCTGTTATTTTTTACTCCCTGACAAGAACTCGTGTTTAAGTTGGCCGCTCGTGTTTTGTAATATGCGTTACCTCCTTGGGGATCCTCTTCGTCCTTGTGTACTTTCCTCGTCGCGGGTGCGAGCCTTTATCCCCCCCCCCCCTATCCCCCCCTCTATCCCCCCCTTTTTACGTCCTGTTCGAGAGCGCTCCCACCATTCAACCGTACAGTACGTCAACATAATCAAACAGCGAAGCACGTAATAGCAGATAATCTTACAACTTCGACCGATAGAACTTGACCTCTAAAAAACCCACAAAAATAATGACGAGTTTGAAGGTCTACAAGCCTTTCCTGACAAACAAAAACACTTCATTCTGGCTGGTAAACACCGAGTTGAAGTAATCAACGTCTTCTGGTTTGTTCTATTCGTCTGTCTCGTCGTTGACGCCAGTCGCTCTCCTGTTTGAGTATGGTTACATTTGGTAGCACTCAAAACAACGAAGAGTTCACAGAAATTATCATAAGCATTGATAAACTGGAAGTTGGGGACACGACAAATTCAGGTAAATTGCTTTAGCAATAGCTTTCAAAGCCATTGACTAACTTTTCATGATCTGTCAACGCAAACTTGAAACTTGACGAAAATAGAAAAGGGGCAATGAATCTCTAAACTTATATTTGAATAAAATGATTAGTTTTTATTCCACTTACTTAGATCATAGAGTACACCTTTCATATATTAGCATTCTACCGAGGTAATTTTGAATAGTTTTTCGCAATTGTTTTGTAAATTAACACAAAAAAGAGTGCATCGACATGAAGGAAAAGTATTTCCGGCACCTCGATCCAAAAATTTTCGCAGTTCCGAACGAACATTTTTTAGTGATTTCAAAACATTAAAAGATTAGAAAATTAATTGATGATGGTGTATGATCAATGTTATGAATTCCTTGCGTGTTCTAAGAATTTACGAATCACTAACTAAGCGTAACTTATATGCCTTTATTTCGCTTTCAACAAATTTGAATACAAAGGTTTTTCCAATGATAATTTAAATCAAAYTGTTTTTATATAAAAAGGATGTAATTTGCGCTTCGTTTTTGTACWTTTTTGTACATTGTGTGAATCCCTATTGTTTTGACATTACTTATATCAATAGTTGTAAATTCTTTCAACTGCATGATTGCCATATTAAGATTTATCACAGCAGATCAGAGAACGAGCCACAAACAACGCAACTTGAAATCACCATGCTGTCGTAAAACCGGAATGCAAGGAACTTTGTTTACGTTTTTTGCCGATTTTTTAACAAAAAAAACCTCCAACAAATATAATATTATAATATTTTGAAATTAGTCATGCATGCTAATAACATTTTTGGCTTTTCCGGCTTTTAAGTTTTGTAACCTCCAAAAAAATTATTTCTAGAAGACTTGATTTTCCCTTGAAGTAAAGTATAAGTAGTTTTACTAGAAAAATCTATCTACAAAGCTATAAATAGATGTGTGACGACCTTTCTATAGTAGTTCCATATCGGTAGAAATAACTATACACCTACGCGATTTGCTAGAATAAAGAAACACTAAAAACCCGTGAATCAGCACTCTACAGTGGATTTTAAAAACCCCGTGAAATACATGCCTTAGCATGGCCTTATAAAGACGTGAAACAGACATGCAGAAATGGATCAAGGAAACAAATGTGTTTGTAAGGCGGAGAAAAAACGGTTCTGTGTTTTCCTACCAAAAAAGGATATAAATACGTGTACTGTACTTTTTTTATTACTTGGCGTGACAGTGGCTGTGCTTAAACATCTTTCATCGAGGACAAAGATCATTTGAACAAATCACGTTTTTTGAGATAAAATCAATTGATTTGTTATGATCGTGTGATTTCAATTGTTGCCATTGTTWTTACCGTTTGATAGTTTCAATATACCAAGATCATTGTTCATACTTTTCTTGATATATTCAAAACATGTAAGTTCGTTGTAGCGACTCTCTTGGGATCCCTGTGTCTAAGAGGGACGGGCTTTGAATCGTGGCATTGGTTATCGATGATTTTGTTCTGATCTTGTTTTTATTATCATTATCATAATATTGCAACATTAGCTATAGATGAACCAGTTACTTTTCCTGTCTAATCAGAGAAAAATCACTGAAGGTCTCCAGGTTTTTTTGATACATCACAAATCATGCGAAGTCCGGCTAAAATTGAATGCATGACTGGTATAAGAACAAGGTCAGAATTTCATATTGAAAAATCTACAAACTCCTTTTTATCGACCTTACATCGACCAGTGAAAAGAATTTGGAATGACAAGGTCAGCATTTCAATAAATGCCTTCATTTGCCAAAGCTACAAACCCCTCTTTATCGACCACAAATCGAAGGATTCAGACTAACCGAGGTCTGTGTTTATGTCGGAAGAGACTGCTAATATAAGGTTTGCGTGTTTCATTTTCTGTAGAAAGGAAGTAATTAAACCATCGCAACATGACATTTTATCGCATCTATTATCACAGTATGGGCTCCAAACGAATTCATCGGCATATGCCTAAAAACCCCACATAAATATTTCATTGCAAAAATGTTGAATTTTACCCTGAGCAAGCAGCAACATGGTGTTGAAAAGAATGTTAATATGAGACCGTTTCCAGCGTTGACGGTCATAAATTTTGATCGCATGAGAGAGACGGTTCGTGATTGTATAAAACGATCACTACAGAGGACTTCTCTTCGAAGGGCCCCGGCTGCATTGCGCGAGAGTAAGTTTTTATTGATATACCTTGATAATATCTGTTGGAATATTGCTGAGTTATAGCACACTATTCGTTATTTTGTACATCTACTTGTCATCACTCTTGCTGTAGTGTCGTTTTGGGAATCGTTCTAATAATATGCGCACGATTCAAAAATTATCTCAGGTGCTGTCTCTACCATTATTATCAGCTTATTATCATTGAAAAAAATCTATACAACACAGACAAATGCAGCAAGCTGACTGTTAGCTAGTTAGTTTGTTAGTTAGTTTTATTTTTGTTATTATTTTCGTGACATTGTCACTTGTTTTTTTTTTAGTCTTTTTCATAAATTATGATTGCAGTTGTAATCCAGTAAATCGCGTATTGAAGCATGTTGTTTCGCAATATTATAGTATTTCGAAGTGTTTGTCCTTATTATACTTGCAAACTGATTATTGAATGACAATTCATTTTTATCCAGATTTCAATAGCTTCACGCATCCTTTTCATTCATCCACTTTGTCAGTCCTATCCATCCCTCTAATCTTACAAGGTTTTTCATCCATCAATCCATCCATTTTTTTCGGCATGCTTTTATTTACTGGACCAAGAGCTGTGTGTTTTTTACGATTCTGTCTGAAGGCCCCAAGGCACTTATCATATGCTAAACGGTTCTCTGATTTGAAGGCTCCATTTACGCAATAAAGGAAGCTATAGGTCTGATATGCTGTGCGATAGTTCCTGTTAATCTACCTCTGGATCGTTTTCGTCTGGGAGATAACTTGCTATTGCCGTTAGCTCGTAGTTATCTCCCTTTTCAGACAGCTTTTGAGCTACTGCTTCTATAGAGGTGGGGTCACGTGATATGCAAGTGCAAATAGCCCTTAGCCGTTTAGGTTGGATTATTTTAATTCCGGAAGTATTATAGGTTGATAATTACATTAACCCATTGTAGCGACTTCAGTCGTCTGTGATCATTCCAACCAGTCATGCGTAGATGAT